CTTTGTACCAGTACGTGCGTGTTGGCGCAAATCAATATTTACGGATCTCGCAATCGAAAGCTTTTGCGAGCGCGTAAAAGCACACACTCGCTAAACCTCCGTACGCGCGATCTTTATGATTTTTCCAGCTTAGGTCCTGATTAAATAAAAAAAAAAAAAATAGTCACGATAAGGTGCAGGTAGCAAGCTTACCTTTATCCAATGGATGGTTGGAGAAATGATGATCGCTCATAGAATTTATTTTCACAGCTGTTTAATTTCGATTGAGTAATTCATTAATGTTATTCGCCTAATATGGGTAGGTCAGAAGCAAATTGGTAGCCCCCTGTACGCATACGCGAGCTGCTTTTTATTGCATATTTTGAGCTTGAAAACATTTAAATTAGTTTTGCACGAAACTGCAGTGAAAATTCCAGGGCCACTGCGTAAACTCAGTTGAACGTGTACATACGTATACAGAAAATGTAAATGGAATAAGTTTGACGCGCTTTAATCAAATTTTTTCTCATTTGTTTTCAATTTATTTCGCGCATTATTCCGGTGAATGGCTTTGGTCGTTACAGAAAAAAGAGGGCTTTAACTCGGAGATGTAGCAGAGGGTAAGGGTATGCGAATTCGGCGTGAATAAGTTAATTAATTGGTCTCAGGGATTGCTGTGCGCAGGGGGTCTGCGCCGCAACGACTGACCACCGGATAGCTTATGCTTGTCGTTACAGGGTGGCTATACGGATTACCGATACGATTTATGCACGACAAAGCATAAAGTGAAAATATATATACGCGTGCGTACGAAAACGAAGAAGAGGCAAGGGAGTTTAATTTTCTTCCAGTATCCTTCATTTGATCTTTATAAAAATCCACTCGAAACGGCGTGAGGGTTGCTGGCTATTATTCGTATATACATAAATACGAATCCGATATTCAAATCGAAATTGAGTAAAGCTAGTCGAAACTTTGCAGACAGCTTTTTACGTTATTTGGATGAGAACTCAATTACCCATCCGCATCGGAAATACTTCAAAAGCTCGAGAGAGAGAAAGAGAGAGAGAGAGAGAGAGAGAGAAAGGAAGGGGGAGAACATTTTTCAAGAGGAGCTGTTTAATAACTCGTGTCTTTGTCGAGTGTAATGGAAAAAAACGCGACAACGAAGGGCGCCGATATACACAATCACTTGCTTTGAAATTTAAAGCGAACTCATTTTTTACACGATAATTCTGAAAATATGCTCAGTACTACATTCGTAGATGATTAGGTGTAGCATAATGAGAGACAAGACAAAAATTTCCACTCGTGATGTTCGGAACAAAAAGTCGGAGAAAAAAGGACCGCAAAAGCAATTTAAAACAACCACTAACTAAATACGGACGACGCGGAAAAAACTCTCGAAAAAAAAAAAAAAAAAATTGAAATTGAAGCTTTGACCAAATGAGCGCGCAACGCGGACACACAGAGTATTCGGTCAGCTAAAATGTCTCTCCCTCATATTTATATACGCACGCGCGCATGTTGCAGACAATTGAAACGAAACGGTAGAAATGCAGCACTCGGCGGGGCAAAAGTCGACACTCTGCAAAGTTCGCGTATGCGTATATTTGTGTCTGGCAGTGGCGCATACACGTTTTGCTGTATATACGTATATAATCGGATCAGAGCGAGAACGAGAGAGTGAGAGAGAGAGAGAGAGAAAGCCGCCATTCGTACGTGTAACATATATAATACATATATATATTACGAGAGGAGAGTCTGACGCTTGCCGGATTACGACTACTGCATAAAATGACCAGTGTCGCGCTACTACTAGCTCTGTTAGTGCAGCGCATGGAAGTCGTCGAGTGCAGTCTCATACCCCCGACTCTCCTTCCATAGCTCTCTCGGTTTCTCCTCTTTCTCCGTGATTAATTATACGAGCGGCCGACGTTGTGTGCGTGTAAAGAAGAGCCGCTGCCGCCCCACACGCGAGACCCTCTCGACGAGCAGCTACTACTGCTCTTGCTAATGGTCAGATATGCTGATTCTCATTCGCGCAGGCACATACTTATTTTATTACTTCACATTAAAGTCTTACCGAGCGTGTACTTATGAATGATAAAGTTAATTGTAATCTGCAGGCTCTTGCCCCACTGATTTATTGCTAGCTGTTACTTCTAACGTTTGACCGAAAAATCCCACGTATAATTAATCGACTGGTCAATTTTTCTAATTGCACCAACTCCGACGTATCTAAATTCATAACCGTAGTAAAGATTTTATTATTCAATAACGGATGAAAAAAACGTGAGAAAAAAGGAGCGAACTTGGAATATATAACAAAGATCAATCATCGTTATTTGACCAGGCACGGTCTTTGATTAATTTTTGTGGTAACATAAAAAAAAAAAAACTAACGGACGAACACGAAAAATGATGGAGCGACTGCGGGCATCAGACACATTTGGCTTACACTTTCGATCCATCCACAAAGTAAACTTGTCGAAGGTTGATTAAACTAAGTGATTCATTATTAGATTGACCGAAATAGATGATTGTTCAAAAAGTTGGATGTCTGGCGAAGACATCGGCTTTATAATATTTATAGATTTTGAATAGAAGAAGTTATATAAGTTATAAATAAAAATTGATAAAAAACCCGAGTATAATGGATTCCTCTATAAAATACAAAGCCATCTAAATAGATGTATCAATGTTACGAGCCTCCCCGTGGAGGGCATATAATGCAGCCTTCGAAAGTGCGCGCGCGTGATAGTCGTCGAGGGGGTTGGGGCGAAAAATCGATTCTAGGACAAAAAAGAATACTAAAAAAGTATTTTAAGCTCATTTCCATACGTGTGGCGCAGCGGCGACAACACAGAGCATCGCGCAACATCGTTCGTGGCAAAAAGAAATACGCTCAGATAGATCGAGCTTATATACGAGGGATCTTGACAAAGGCCAAAAACGCAACTTGGCTTTCGAGGATATCGCCTCGTCTAAGCTCGTTATCCAAAAAAAAACGTATTATTAAGTCTATATCGTCGACGTATAATGCATAATAAAGTAGAAGAAAATACCTTAAGGGTGCTCGAGTATACACATAACCAGCACGCGCGTCCCTTTTTTTCTTCGGTGGTTGTCCTCTGCGTATTCCTTCAACCCCCTATAATACGCCAATCTTTAATTCAGACTGTGCTATCGCGCACGACCCTTGGCATCGCTGTTTTTAAGTGATTGATATGGGTTCTTGTATAGCAAACACGCAAAAATCGCTGTATTTTCGTCTACCTTTTTCGCGACATTTTTCGGGGCAAGACCTTGAATCTTCTATTGACCCTTTTTCTTCCCAAGAGCTTTTCAAGTCCACACACACGAAAGTACTTGCCTATTTTTCATTTCGTTTGGCCCTGTCATATTGACTCTTTCAAAGCCATAGTCACACAATCGTAGTTTATACATATAGTTGCCATGGCTTTCAATATAAACAAACGCCAGACACTTTCCGCAAGAATAGCCTTTCGGGTGGATTTTCGATTATCAAAAGAGTTGGGAAAGTATACAATAAGCCTCGCCCAGATATATTTTCCAGTATTATACGTTATTCGAGCTAAAAATGCGCACACAATAGAAGAGCGAATCGCTCGTTTAAATACTTTTGCAGCGATATATTCCAGCGATTGCAAAATTGCAGTATACGAGAGTTGTTTTTCGATACTCTTTTGGCTTTAGCGCGCAGTGTCGAGTTCGAATATCGTGGAGCACGTGAAATTTTTCCATGCAGCTGATGGCCGAATAACAATAAATACGTTCGACCGATGGATCTTAAGCTCGTTTTTCGGGAAATTTAATTACTCTCAAAGGATATAAGGCTTAATCTGGCTCTATGCAGATGAAAAAAGCTCGCAAGCTGCACTTGAATTTTTGCAATTTCGATGTTATTGCGCCAACCGACGAATCCGTGTAATTCGAAGAAGCCTACGTGCAGCAACACGAGTACAGGCTAGAGAAAAGTTTTTTAATTTCGATAAATATGATCGCACAGAGGCGCGTGTGGGCGTAGTTTAAAAAGTATACGACCCATCGCTGTTGCTGCATCATCCGCCTTTTAACCCGAGGCTCGCGGAGGCTTTGTAACAAGTATACGATACTGCAGCGTCGCTGACGTCGACACTCGGGGCTCGAAACTGACAAATCCACAACTTCTCGATCCTCTCGCCTATATAGGTCGCATTTCTAAAGTGCTAAAGGCGTGTCGCGCGCTTGCAATTGTGTAAGTCCGCGCGCGAGGCGCCATCATGTAAGCGCGGCTAAATCGCCCTGATAAATCTCTCACCGAAGTCTCTGCGGCAAAGGCCCTCCTCTATACATTGTCTCTTTCTCGAGCGAGTCGCGATGCTCCAGTTTCGCCGCGTTTCAGGTGGGCGCTTAGAGTCCAAGATCTCGCTCTATATATTATATAGCGCGACAACTGCCCACACACGAGTACACGAGTACTCGCGAGTATTGTATATATACGTGTGCAGTAGTTCTCTCCCTTAACTTGGCTTTTATTCGTCGTCATCGTCGTCGTCGTCGTCCAGGCGCAAGAAGTATGAGTGTGCAGCTCACCTACATACACTACACATCGCGCGAGTTACCAATGTAACACGCTCCGCAGCTCTGGCAAAAGTTTCGCGCTGCACTGCGCGCTCCAACGCTTCACCCAAAAGTGTTCACAGAGACCACACTACTATAGCAGCCCGCAAGCAGCCTGTTTAAGACTGACCTTCTTTTTTACAAACTTGCTCTTCTTGCTCTGGCACTTGGGCATATTTTCCTTCTTTTTCCCCCTTTCTTTCGCGAGAATTTTTTTCCCTTTTGCAGTAGTACGATGTCTTACTTCGGTAATTTTGGCCAAAATAAAATATGAATTTTTGAATAAAAATACATTCGGATTTCAATTTACGACTATAAACATAGCAAGATCGAGTACATTATATTGGACAAATTTCTTATCTCTGTCTTTACTTTGTGTGTGCCCGACACGACAGATGCGGAAGTGAGGTCGCCACGCTTCGGCGGTCAAAGCTGGCTGGCGTTTCCGCCTCTTCACGCCGCTTACAAGCACGTGCAGCTGGAGCTGGAATTCCGGCCCGAGACTTGGGACGGCATTATTTTGCTCGCAGGCGAGAGGGACGACCTGCAGGGCGACTTTATGGCTCTCATCATCTATCACGGATACGTGGAGTTCAGGTGAGCTTATTTCTTACCACTACTTTTTTTTTTTTTTTTTTTTTTNCTCTTTTTTTTTTTTTTTTTTTCATTCGACCTCAGTATCAATTCGTAATAGAGAGTCGCGTTCGACCGGAAGACGTACAATTTTCTTTTGGATCATGGATGTGAAACTACTCTTGGATATTTTATCCATCTCGTTCGTGCGCCATTATTTGTGGTACTCGGGAACGGCTTTCAATTTTCTCGCTGTCGTAACAGCTTTTTTATGCACACAACTAAACAATCTATATTGGATGTAGTTCGCAGGCATTTTTACAATTATTTTGTTTCATCGCGACAATACATAGCACACTTTGATGATTAAAACGACGATACACGTCATTCTCGAGCTCACTTTTTTGCAGGAAAGTTGAAAAATGTTCTCTCGTAACGAATAGTTATTTTTGCACTTTCTCGCTTATTTCATCGCGGAAGCTTATATACACTTTGAAAGCTCTCGTGTTAACCGCGTGCCAAAAAAGTTCAAACGTATAGGGCAAGAAACTTGATTGTTAAAGCTACGTTGCCGCGACTTGTTAACCTCGAGAGGTCACAATACGATTTAATAAAAGTGAATAAAATTAACCCCGAAGATCACTGGACGTAGTGCACAGCCTCTCGTATATCCGTAATCGAATTCACGTTAAACTTTTCGATTCAAGGCCTCGGCGTATTTAACGAAAATAAAATATAAACGTCGAAGAAACGGACAATCGCGCAAAAAATTGATTCGGATATAAAAAAGCCATTCCGTTAAATAATTCCTTCGAGTACGAGGGTATTATAAATGCAACGCTTCCGTGTGCGGTAGGTCGATAACCTTTAACCGATAATCACACGTCGTCAGCGCCGAGAACCGAAGAGCAAATAGTCGCAGTCGAAGCAACCGATCGATATTATGTAGCGAAAAAATACGAGCTAAATGTTACTGTCCAAATCGAAATTTCGTAGAAACAATCGAACGATCCAAGGAGTATCGATGCATCGAGATTAGTACGGACTCTTAAATACTTGATAATATTAATACGCAGAGTCGAATCGCAAAGAATGCGGAGGTTGTCGAGTACGGTCAGCAGCGGCATCAAATAACACAGGCGTCCAACGCGCATAGATTCAATTGTATGTATTACTATGTAGCTTTGTACGCTCCCCGTTCGGCAATTATTTTGGCTCGAAATTATTTCCGAACGAAGCCGACGAGCCAGCGAGATATTTACAGAAAATCGTTGTACGCATTAAGCCATGGCGAGCGACTATATACATTTGGCGATATTATCGATTCCATCGAGAATGCGTATATAATACAGAGAACGAGACAAGCGTGTACAATGCGCAGTATTCAAATCTTGCTAAAGTCGATGATTTATATAAATACCGTATAGAGTAAGCAAGACGTTAGCAGCACGAATTTTCGCTGAAAAAAAAATACAAGCTTTATTCGCCGCCACCGCAGCGCGTATATATACCCTGCGTTGCACAGAACGCGTAACCTATTTTCGCGCAAGGCTGCAGCTGATGGAATGTAATATACGTTCCTTTTATTTTTTTTTTTTTTTGCTCCCTCCCTCTCACTCTCTCTCGGAAGAGTTCGTGCAAATTTTATCTCTCTTTTATCCGGCATGTTTCAGCGTGAAATTGCCGTTCGTTTCGCCGATGGCTTCGAGTGTTTTCTAATCCGAGGCCACATAATTGATAATATCGGGAGAGAAGGGTCAAACCCCCGCAGCATAGCTCTCTCCCCACGATGAAATTTTTATTTAACCGAAAACTCCCAAAAAAAGGACGAAAAAAAGGCCGCAGTTTGGCCTTCTTTTGTAAACACCTTTTCCCGAAGGTATACACGCGTATAAAAACGCTATGGGTACGTTTCAACTTTTTTTTTTCTGTGCGCAGATTCGACTGCGGCAGCGGAGTGGGCATTGTCAGGAGCTCCGACACTGTCAAGCTCAATGAATGGAACGTACTGAACGTCTATCGACATCGCTGGGACGCATGGCTGCAATTAAATCAAGAAAAACGAGTCCAAGGCAGATCGAAGGTAAAAAAAAAAAAAAAAAAAAATAACAAAAGCTCATCATTTTTTGCGAGGGAAAAATGTTTTTTTTTGGAGGGATGGCAGGGCTGTTGATTGATAAGTAACCGTCAAACGCCGAAAGCCGCGCGGGGACGAAAAGGGAAAAAATTCAGCGTTTGCGAGCGCGAAAAAGCGGGTGCGCAGTCCGCCTCAAAAGGAAACGAGCGGCGCTTAATCGTCGTTGCAAAGTTGGCAGCCGCGTATCTCTCGTTAGACCGATGTTTATACATAAAAGAAAAGTGTAAACATTGTCTCTCTCGAGCTCTCTGATCATATAACGCGGCGCGCGCGAGGTACACACATATATATAGAGCAGAAATTGCGCAGAAACACACGTATAGGTAGGGCTAGAGCTCTGCACGAAATGAAGAAAACCACGCAAAACGATAAAGCCGAAAGCTCGAGTGGTGCTGTGCTGCGCTGTGCTCTGTGGCTGCTGCCGAGCGTGTAGTATACGTAAGCCGTGTGCGCACGCAGGCATGCGCAATAATAACACGCGTGCAGTACGACTCTCTCTCTCTCTCTCTCTCTCTTTCTCTTGGATAGCTACAACATATACTACTACACGATGCTATATATTCGTGCAGCTGGTCGAGCTGCTACTCGTCTCTCTCTAAAACCCTCGAGACCTAAAACCCCCAGCAGCTACGTAATTCAGGATAAAATGATTAAACGTCCTTCTTTTACCTCGAGCTCGACCCCATATATATATCCTGTCCGTCTATCTATAGCAGCCTCGGCCATAGAGCACGAAAGCTCAGCACAGAAACATCGTTTGTTATGCACGTATATATATGTATGGCTTGGGCTATCGAGCCAATAAGATTTCTATTCCTATACACCCTTTGTATACGTCTTAACTAACTCAATGGAAATCCCATTATAGAAATCGTTTGGGTCGTCTTTCGTGTAACGTAATTATGATGTTTTTATATATGTATCGTTTCAACTATCTTTGACTTAAATTCAGTTCGATCGATTTCCATTATCGAATGGATATACACCGTAGCTGTGCAATTAGTTTTTCGATGGTAAAAGTTTGAACACGTTAAATATCAATATCTTATACGGCGCTCGATGAGCGAAATTTGACAAAACATCAACAGCGTAATAATTAACGATCGTGCAGTATCGCGCGAGGGGGAGTTCAATGAATCATCGCCTTTAAAAGTTTCTTTCGTAAGCGAGTAAACATGCCGTCGAGAAAAGCGAAACGCGCCGAGAAGAGATCGGAAAATTAAGGCGAAATTACAGCGCAGCAGCGTTGCATAAGACGACTGTAATAGTCGTTGGGGGAAATATACGCGCGCGATGTTAAACATCGAAACGGGGGGGGGGGGGGGGNGGGGGGGGGGGGGGGGGGGGGGAGTGCATACGCGCGCGCATATATACCTGTATACGAAATATAGGCAGCCCCCGAGTCTTCCTCGGGCCGTCGTTCGCCCCGAAAAGCGGGCTAATCCGTTTTAATTACACAACTTTAATTTGAATAACAGCTGCAGCTTTGAGAGAACTTCTTCTTCTTCCTCTTCTTCTTCTTCTTCTTGGGCTTGGCTAGAAAGACGTCGTGCGCAAGAGCTAAGAACTGCATTTCTAATCGCGAGTCGCGAGTGCACAAATCATGGGCGAAACGCGACTAGCTAGCTCCGACGAAATTAACAAGTGTATATAGCTTTGAAAATCGTGTGCCCGCAGCGTCTCTTAATCGGGCGCGGCCTTGCGCGCGATTCGTTTCATCTCCGTTTGATAAGTCAAGAGTCTCTAAGTGCTGCACTTTTATCAGATCTGCGCGCTGACAAAGTTCGTTCAAAAGTTGAGAAAAAAATGTTTATACATTTATGAGTCGGGCGTAAAAGTGCGATTTCGTCCGCGATTAAAAGCTCGACGCTTTTGCCGCGCGCTTTGCGCGGCGAAATCGCAGGGAAGTTGACGGTGTGGGTTTATAACGAGGCGCGCGCGCATCATCGAGTGTGGCTGCAGAGAGATTTTACGAGTATTCGACGCTCTATGCGCGCGAGCTTTAATTGTTACGGCTTTACTTACCATTAATGCGAATGTCAACGCCGAAAATTTTTGTTGAATTATCTATAACGATCTCCGGCTCTCGAAATAGCTGACTCGAGCGCGTAGAAATTATTTTCGAATCGTAAGATTACATTTATACCGCGGTGGTGGTGACGCCTATATAGTCGAAGGAAAATAAAAAAAAATTCCCTTACCGCGCGCTCGAGTTACTATTACAAGTCGAGTCACATAGCTATGGGCGAGCGCCGCGCGCGAGTAGTATCTCATAAAATCGGCACGTGTGCGGCCCGGCGAGTTTTATAACGAATAAAAACAAAGAAAAGCTCGAAAAAAAAAATATCTATGTATATATGTGTGTAATACTCGCTGTAGTATATAGTATATATGTTTATGGTCGCTTTGGTGCAGCAAGCAATTTCACTGGCCCGATAAACTGGGTCAAAAGATATATACGAGCTATTATAGGTATATCGAGCTCTCAGAAGCTTCAAAAGACAAGGTAGAAGGCGCTGGCCTATACCGATACCTCCCGACAACATACTATATATAGCTGTTGTACTAACAAGACCATAACATATTATAACATGCAGAGTCGAAAGATTTTCGGGCGCAAAATTGCTGCTCTTGCGTTACTTAACTCCCCTTCGAGTATAGTGCTCGAGAGGAAGGATTAGCCGACTAAACTCGCTCTCTTTTTCTCTTTACACTTTGTCACGTTCCAACGGGTGGCTGATCGTCTTGCCCGAGAAAAGTCTTCTTGTCTTTTTTCCTCGAATCATCGGCTGACCTTTTACGTACGTGAACTACTTTAATTTCGTCGTTCGCATCGCGTCACAGCTCGTCCGATTATAAACACGCCCTTTGAGCGCGACACGTCATACGTAGCTGTGACCACGCAGAGCTATTAGCAGCTTCTTAGAGAGAGAGAGAGAGAATGTAATTGGTTAAAAAGGCCCCCCCGTTTATGATCTTATCCTCGAGTCATCTCGGGTAAATTAAATTTAAAGCCCACCTCGCTCGCTCGCGCATCCCTTTGAAATTTATTCAAAAAGCCTCCTAGCCCCTCTCGACTTCCCCCGGGGCGACTCTGATGTGCCAAAGTCTGTACAAAAAGTGTGCGTAGTATGTACGCGCGGAGCTCCCGGGAGGTCTGTTTTCTCCATTATACGTACTTTCGCGCGCGCGCGCGCCCGAGACAGTGTCTATTTTGTGGATAGGACGAAAAGTTAGCGTAATAAGTTTCAGCTCGCGCGTCACCACCGCTGGACATGCTCGCGAGCACGACTTTTAAACTTCGACTTCGATTTCGACGCCTCGGCTATACAGAGGCTTAAATACGTTTTGCATATATTATTATATAAAAACTCGAGGGTCTGATTATTTTGGACTTGTCTCGGCGAAGCGAATTTTTCAGCAAAAGTTTTTTTTCTAATGTATGCTTGAGCTTTCTTCGAGCGCAACAAGATAAACAAAAATTATGCGACGCGTAAAATGTTAAAGTAAAACAAAATAACGTAGAAACGCTCTGAATTTTATTTGAAATTTTCTTTTTTTATTCGTCTTCGTCTAGAACTGGAGATATTGTTAAAATAGTAAAAATTGACAATATTGCATAAAGTCAATGCGTAGAGCTCGGATTGCCGCGTCGATATATCGTTCATTTACCACAATTTTTCACTAATAATATCTCCGGTTCTATTGGTCGTATCAAGACGAATAAAAAAATGATGAAAAAACGAAAATTTTTGTCTTTTTGAGTGCAAAAAAATAAAAAAAAAATTGTTTTGGTAAATATTCAATAGTTTTGGAGTTTACGCCGTACAAACAATTAATTTGTTTATAACAATATACTCGACCCTTTGAGAGAGATGGGAGTTGAAAATTCAAATTCAGCGGGTCAAAATACGTAGTAACACACTTCGTTTTTTGTGAGACCTTCCAATGCATACGAAACCCCCTCAGCGCCTATGACTAAATTTAGATGTATCTGAATATAAAATTGCAGGAATCGCGGGTATCGACAAGTTTGAATATCACTTATTTTTTCCCATTTTTCTCGCGTATTTAACTTGCGCTACTTTGCTGGGCAAATGTATATTTACCGAGAAAAAATACATGGTCGTCCAGACACTTTTGCCTCTTATATTACGAGTAAAAAGCTTTCACGGGGCAACATTTTGCGCACGGAAAGCCAAAGAGTAAATAGCAGTCATATGGGCAATTCTCTGGCATAAAATCGAACATCGTGCTTATGATATTTCAGCGAGCTGCTGCTGCTGCTGCGACGTTGCTCGCTTCGAGAAGCCTGCGCAAAATTGCAAACACAGTCGCTACCCTTAATAAAGTATAGTACATATATACTCGCTCCCTGAAGTAAAAAAAAATCAAAGACTCGACGATATGTATAAGCTCCAACTGATTGCTCCACATGTACTAGCGCCCTGTTTAAGGACTGAAAAATTCCACGATATAAAATGAGGTTCGTCTGGCAGACGTCTCGACTTGGGCTCGATTCATCGCGGATATGTACGTGCTTTTGCTATACGTGATATCGATATCTTTCGCTTCTCATTTTTTTCTGATTAGATCGTCGCTCTGCGCGCAATTTTTGCGAGCAAGACGCGAGGTTTCTTACTTCTTACTTCCGTTCCGAAATCTCTTACGCGCGCTCGTATAATGTATAATAAAAAAAAAAGAAATATACGGTAGGTTATTTTTAAACGCTTGGCCAGCGGCCAATTTGTAGTTCACAAAGTCCGAGTCAAATGAAGATACGCTTAGAATTTTTTAATACCCGAGTAAGCGTCGTCGCGCGTTAGCATATTATGCAAAGGACGCGTGTAAGCGTGTGCGTACACTCGCGAAACTCGTCGCTCCTTTGTGCCGTACTGTAAGACTCTTTGACCTGACTCTGACGTGATTTAAACTTGCGCAGCAGC